AAGAACAAGTAATAACAACAATAATATCATCATGGCGGGCAGCGGCGGGGGGGCGGCGGCAGTGGCGGCGGTGGCGGCAGGACAGGCCTGGGGCCAGTCCAAAGGCCTCGGGGAGCTGCATCCGGCCCCCGGGCCTTAGGTTGCCTACCCCTGATGTAGAGGGATCTTGTAGCATCTTTGAGACTAACTGCAAGAAAGGAGTTGGCAGCATGAACTTTCATAGACTAAAGTCTACTTCCTCAGATGCAATACAAAATGCACAAAGGAGAGGGCTTTTTCTGTGATGACATCTTGACTTGGGAAGTTAACACCCTCCAAGAAATTAAACTGGTTCTAACATACAAATATTTTTGATGCCAATACCAGGTCAAGATAAATAAAATATTTGCCCAAATATTTAATCACTTGCAGTGTTTCTGTCAATGTATAGTTTTAGTATTTTTTTCTAATTTTAATTGTAATGACAGCTGCTTATTTTATTGTGTGGCATTTTAATTTATAATTTTAATGCTTTTTAACACTATGAAATCTATTTTGAATTAATGGAAGATTAGATATTTTTGAAACACACTTTGACTTTTTGTACCACTCAAAACTCTCTTTCTGGGTGTTTCACAAGCAGAGAATAATGAAACATCATGCAGCAAAACTACTTTTAAAAACAGTTAAAGAATAATAGCAGTGTCCAACTAATCTACATCAGTGGGTCAAAAAAGCATTGGCAGCTTTTTCACAGGGTTTAAAGTATGGGAGATTAAAAAGTCTTTGTATCATGCCAAAGAGGCCACAACATAGGAATTGGATGAGTGTTACACAGTTGGGATGCCACCACTGAAAATAATAATAATAATAATAATAATAAGTTTTATTTATAGCCCGCCCCTCTGCTAGGCAATCGGGGCGGGTTACAGCATTTTAAAACAGCACAGTTAAAAACATTCCCTCCAAACATGATCCCTCCACCCACCCCTTAAGACAAGATTAAACCAAAAAATAATTAAAACAACACAAGAATGAATTAAAAACTCAATCCGGAGTCAGTGGTCAATGAGCAAGTTGTCCCTCTCCATGGACAGATATTATTCTGGGAATAATAGCTGGAAAAGACCTCTTCCAGCTAGTAGCCTGTCACCTTGTTCATTTGTGTGGGATGTACCCCTGGACAAAATGCTCCTGGCTGCTAAATGTATGCTAAAATAAACTTTCTTCTGAACTCTAGTCTTTGTTTGTGGACTGGTGTAGCAGAAGGGATTTAATTACTGGTCCACAAAATTATTGGCAGCATCATCCTGCTCTGCCTCTGGAAGGAAAAGGCTGATCAAGAAGAGAAGACTTCCAGTTTGCTTTTCTGAAATAGATTTTGGGATCAAACCCAACATTGCAGCCCCAAGCTGAGCGGGATATGCTGAGAATGCCTTACGAAATGAGGTTCCCAGGCTGTGTGTGGAAGATTTACCACTTTTTTAATTCATCCTGAATGAAAATGCTGTGAGCCAAGTTGCTTTGGAGATTTGTTTCTGGATGGTCATTTGATCCCTTTAACTGTGCATAGACATTTAGACTGAAATTGTGCTTGTTGGAAAGAAGGGAAGGCTTTATAAATGAGATTCCCCCACCGGATATGAAATGGGCAGCTGTGTGGGATGCAGACATCTTTTGGTAACTTTGTGGATGGAACCTGATAAAACACAAAGTCCCCTTGCCCCATATTTCCTTTCCATAAAGCAAATGTGGATCGGGGTGGGGGGGTGGGGGAGTCTGATAGGGGGGTGAATCAGCACATAAGAGAGGTTGTGTAAATCCTTTCCTTGGTTGCTTGTTCTCCTTGCAGATTCCACTCCAGCCTGCTGTTTTCATCCTTTCTAAGAACTGTTCCACTAATCAGACCTTTTTTAAAATGGCCCATGTGCCTGTGAGAGAAGTGACCAGGATTCTCTTAGGCCTATAGTACACACAGAGTGGTTGAAGACTG